CGGCGCATGAAAGCTGAATTTGAAACCTTGAAGTCTTGGAAATCACTGAAGAGTGAATGTCCTTCAGTGATTTCCAAGATAATAGTTCACCTGTCAAAATTTTCACGAGGCCGTATGTGATACCCGAGAGCGCAGAAACGCTGAATTTGAATTTGTAAGGTCGTACGTGATCAAGGAATCATTACCCTAAAATTTGAGCTTTGTAGACTTCGTGGTTCCCGAGAAAATAATTTATCCGCAAAAAATTTTCACGGAGTCGTGAGTGATACCCGAGAGCGCGGGGACGTAGAATTTGATTTCACAAGATCGTTCGAGGGCAGGGGGTCATTGCCTTAAAATTTCAACTTCCCAGACTCCGTGGTTCCCGAGATAATAATTTACCAGTCAAAAACTTTTACGGAGCCGTACGTGTTACCTGCAGGCAGGGGAAAATTAAATTTTCTGGGTGGCACATGGGTGGGGGACATGCTCACAAAATTTTAGCCTTCTAGCTTCCGCGGTTCCTGTGATAATAATTTTACCTGCCCAAACTTTTACGGGGCCGTACATGTTGCCCACGAGTACAGGGAGACTGAATTTGAATATACGTGGTTGCACGTGGGTGGGGAATGTTCCCCTAAAACTTCAGCTTCCTAGCTTTTGTGATCCCCGAATTAAAAGTTGCGGACAAGTTGCTAAGGACACACACACATATACACACACAAAAACACACACAGACAACCCCGTGACAACACACGTTTTGTACTACTGTTATACAAGACAAAACGCATAAAAAAGCAGGCCCCATTTCGAAATTCCTATCGAATTAATTTGTAAATCTGTCCCAAGGGGGGACTGCCTGCAAATGTAGCAGCATAAATGCTGACCATAAGACAATACACAAAGACCGTAACTGTGTGCCGTATAATAAAACCACAGTATACTCCACTACACTTCCGCCGAGGCTATATTGAAGTAGCGTTATTCTCGTGCTAAAAGCCGGGGAGATAATTCCAGCAGAAGCATAATCATTCTCTTTGTGAATCATTCATTCGTTTCAGCACCAGGTTAGTATTAGCTTTTTATCAGGAATTATAGCACTTATAAGTACGTTTGCCTTGTTTATAAGCATATAAGCAAATCTGGGAAGCAGGAGCCATCTGAAGCCTCGTTAATGATTAGCTGCTGCTGATACGTACCACTATCCAGGCTACTCACAAGTACGTTTGCCTCTTATGCAGTCAGTCAGTCAGGAAAAGATTTTTGACTTTTTAATCTTTATTTTTTTCAGTTGCGTTTTTAACTTGTGATTTAATGGAAACCGAAAAACTACACTGATAGCAGTAAACCTAAAACCATGAGCATACGCAAAGAAAGACAGCAGAGGATCCGAAATCCTATAAACTCAGTTCATCTAATAAATGGCAAACCGTTTATACATTTCAAAATACAACTTCAGCGAACTCATACCTGAACTTTCATACTGCGGACGGCCGGCTCTACCAAAGATCTGCTGAACATCAAGTACGCCAATATCCGTAAACGCTCCTTTCTGGGCGTCGAATATTTCAGTACCCTAAAACCAGTTTTTGCAAACAAATTCAAAAGTTTTAGCCTCATGTGTATGAGAATATGAAAAAAGCTACGAGTTTCAGAACAATATCCTAAAGGCAACACCGGACTTGCAAAAACAGAGGTTTCATCACGCAATTTTGTTTAATGCCCTGAAAGGTTACTAGTTGAAAAGACGAAAATTTATGCGACGAATCAACAGCTATTTCGGGTATCATTAAGAAAAGCTGACAAGGTGTTTATAGTTGAACGAAGTACTGAATAATTTATAAAA